AAAATTCAGGAAAAAAATCAAATAAAAGAAAAATGAAAAAATAGAGTCTAATCGCAAATGATATAAATATTGAATGGTAAAAATAAAAAAAATAAGATTAAAAAAGATAATAGAGTTCAAACTCCAATTAAATAAATATTAAAAAATAAAATTTAAAAAACATAAGCTTAGAGAAAGTTAAAAAAAACTCGGGCAAACCTTTTAAATCCAGGTTAATATTTAAAACTCAATACTCAAGTATAGTTAAAAAGTTCAATTTCCAATTAATCTAATATATAATGATGGAATTAGAAAAAGTATCAATTTAAAAAAATCTACTAAAAAAAATATGATCAAATTTGAAATAAAAAAATTAAGGATGCAATTTAAAAATATAAATTAAAAAATATCTTAAATAATACAGAAAGATTAAAAAGTTAAAGGGGGAGAAATTGAAAAATAATTTTATTTTTATAAATTATTTTAAAAAATTATTTCAAATATAAAAGATAAAATTTAAAAAATAATTTAAATAATAATTCTAAAAACCCAATAAATAAAAAGACCAATGAAAAATTATACATAAAGCAAAATAATAAAAAGGATGGAACCCTAATTCAGATTGAATAAATACTAAATGATAAAAATAAAAAAAATTATTATTATAAAATAAAAAATAAATAAATTAGAATAATATCCTAAAAAAATTAAAAAAATAATTTTAAAATATTTCTATAAAAAATACAAAACCTGTGGCTTATATTATGAGACTGTGATAAATTTATTAAAAAAATAAAAAATAATCACCAAACCAATATAAAAAAAATAATGCTAAACAATATTACTATAAAAAAAAATGAGCAAAACAAAGATGTTAAATAACATTAATTTCTTAGACTCATGATTCGGGTTTTTAGATCAAAAGTGTTATAAGTGAAAAAAATTTGAAGCTGAATATTTAATAAATTAAATATTAAAAGATAAAAAAAACAAAAAAAATCAATTACACAAATAGAATCCAAGAAAAAAATTTAATTAAAAGAATGAGGGTGAGAATAAAATAAAAATTAATTAAAGGGAAACCAAAAACTTTTAATTTGAGGGTTAAATTGAATTGAAAAATATTTTTAATAAAATGAAAAACAAATCAAAATAATGAATGTTAAATTAGAAAAAATAAAACAATATAAATTTTGATTGAAAGATGAAATTCAAAACCAATAAAATTTAAAAAAAAAATATCAAGAAAATAAATTAAAAATTAAAAGAATAAAGACCAAAATGAATAAAAAAATATGAGAAATTGTAATTGAAAGATTAAATAAAAAAAAAACAATTTTTTTATAAAAAGAATAAAAATAAAATAAGAAATCAAAGGAATAAAAATTAAAATAAAAAAAAATAAAAATTATATATTTTATCTAAAAAAAATAACTACCAACAACAATTCAATCACTGTACATGATCACCTGTCACATTACCAAAAAAAACATAACATGGTAATGCTTTTAGAAACATTAAATAATGTCATATTTAGATAACGGGTGGCGTTGCATATTCCGGACTAAATTTTATAATTAACTTGGATGTACTAAATTATAATTAACTTGGATAAATGCAATCCGATATTTCTTGGAATAGAAATATGTTTTTAAAAAATACCAATATGGGATTTAATGCAGTGGAAGGCAGTAAATTTCTTCCTTATCTAAAGCGACTGTTATTTGTTTTTGGTTGTACCATGGTGTTCTTCAGTTGCTAGTGAGGATTCGAATTGTGTTTGCCTCCCTATTTTTTTTTTCTTTTTTATTTTTTGGAAAAAAAAAACCTTTTTTCATTGCTACTCGGGTGGGATGTCATTTCTCCTAAGAAATAATGGATATAAAAAGTCAAATTTAGGGATAAAAAGCTGGAACTCATACAAAGAACAAGAAAAAATTGGACAGAAAGTGGCTGCTACAAGCAATCAACGATATTTATTGAATCGAAATATAAAATAGAAATAAAACACGAAGAATCACAGATCCAAATAACAAGAACTAATTTGGTAGCTTTATATGACACGAGAACCGCCCAAGCAAGTTGTTTCTGAATAAAACATATATATATATATATTTGTTAATAGAATGTTCAGATCAGGCTACAAGAATCTTAATTAATTTTATAAATTTTAAAATTAATAATTATATAAATTTTTAATGATTCTAATATTTATAAGACTTGAACTAGTAATTTTTTTTTAAAAAAATTTAATACCTAATTAATTAAGCTATTAAAATTTACATATATTTTATATCAAGATAAACTTGTTATAATTAAAAGGAAATAAAGTTGTAAATAAAATATAAATAATCTTTTATAGTAAGATAAACTTCATAATGATTTAAAGTTAAACAACCTTTAATCATGATATATAGATCCATTTTCGTTGTTTTTCTTTTTAGGTTTTACATTTTATGATATATGCTTTCAATTAATTTAAATAAAAAGAGTGATGGGAATATAATATTTAAAAATGTGATTTAATTTTTGGCTAATTTATCGGTTTTGCATGTATGTATATGATAGACAATTTAAGGTAATGTTTTAATTTAATAGCTTTATCTACACAATAAGGAAGCACCACGTACGCAAAACAAAAAAGAGCAGATATTGATTGATGTTTCAACAAGACGTTCGTGGTTGCTAGTTCAATCAATGTTCCATAATCCTGACTTCTAACCAGCGGCTGGTATTTACACATCATTCTCCGTCCATGGTATTGTGAGGGAGTGACTTTTAATCTTTTTTTTTTATATATATTGATATTAAATATAAAATTTTAGAAATAAAAAAAATATTATTTTAATATTTTTCTTCACAACAACTATTTTAAAAAACATTCATTACTTATCCTAATCTTAAACATTCTTCATAACTCCAATCACTTGAAAACAACCTAAGCTACATACATATTTTTATTTTTATTTTAATTATAACATTATATTCTTGAATCAATTCTTATTCTTATATTTATCCAATTCAACTCATGATTAAAGAGGTTTGGTTATATATATAATTTTTTTAGTTTAAGTTTTGATTTAATAGTTAAAGTAATTTATTTTTATTAATGTACTGGTCTAATGCATAATATAATATTTCAAATTATCTAAAAAATAATTTTAATTAATGTGTAAACTATCATAATACTATAAAGATCAAAAAAGAAAGAAAGAAAGCTAAACTTATCTAGTCTATATCATTTTGTAATTGTGTATTTTAGTAATTTAATATTGCTATTTTGTTAATAATTCATTCAATAAAACTCTATATTGAGAAATAATTTTTGAAGAATCTTATGTGACATGCACATGACCAATGAAAAGAAAATCTCTCGCCTAATCCTTAATTAAGCTGCTTTGCACGTGACTTTTCATCGCCTCTTCCTTTCTCTAATAGTTAGACGCAAACATTTCTAATCTAAAATTTAAATCCAAATTTCTCCCAATAAACAATTAGAAACTCTTTCAAAATTGGATACGACTTGAACCCATTACCTCAACACTTTGAAAAAATTAAAGCTTTTTTTATTATTTATATGAATAATAAACATATTAATATACTTGTTTAATTTTTTGATAATTTTTTGCTATAATTTAGATGATTGACGAGCATATATAAGTGGAGGTGTTGCGGGTTCAAGAGCTGGTAGAGGAAATAAAAACAAAATAAATAAATGCAAACAATAATTAAAATAAAAAAAATAAGATCAAATGTGCACGGTCTATTATTATTATTTTTTATTTATGTGGGTATTTGGGCCAGCTTGCGCGCACTACGACTAATCTCACGGCTCACTGAAGACCCTGCAAACCCAATAAACATGTAAGGCACCGCGGGAGTGATAAACGTGCACGGTCTATTATTGATGGGCCAAGTGTTAGGCCTGACCCTCTCCTATTATTTTTCTTTTTGGTTTTTTTGACCCTTCTAAAAAAATTCACTAGATTTTTTTACTTTTCAATTTTGAATAAGTTTGAATGGTTCTTAAATACTATTATAAATTTTGATTTAAGTTTTAATAATTTATTTTTCAATTATTTCATAAATGATAAAAAAAAATCATACTAATAATAAATTGTTCATAAAAATTCGATTCAAATTGTTTTTTTTCTTAGAATTTTTAAATAGATTTTAAACTTAATCTTATCTCATTTATAATTTTTTTATCTTTTAATTACACATAAAATATGAAGATACTATTTTGGTATTTTTTGTTAACTTAATACAACAATCATAAAATATTAAAAAAAAACAAAAACAATAATTTTAGTGAAAGATACCTTTTGACATTGTGTTTGAAAAGTATTTTTAAAAAAATTGATTTTTTCTTGCTTTGAATTTGTATATTTTTTATATTTTCAAATCATTTTGATCTACTGATCTCAAAAATATTTTTTAAAAAATAAAAAAATATTATTGACATGTTTTTTTAAATAAAAAATATTTTGAAAAGCAATTACAACTATACTTCTAAAACTATATTTCTAAATAAGCTTTTTAATTTTAGATTCATTGTGATAAACATGCATGAGGTATATTAATAAAAAAATTATCTTAATAAAAAAAAATTTAGTAACTTTATTGTGAGGTTTAATAATAATATCAAGAAACTTCCTCAGACTTGCATATTTATTTTTATATTTAGAAGAATCCTGGTTCCGTACGTAAACATACAAGCTAGTATGATACGAGGAAACCACCACTACAAAAATATCATTTCAGTGGCAATTCTTCCATAGCTATGTCAATATTTTGAATAAAATATTTAAAAAGTTTAATAATAATACGATGCGATACCAGTTTTTATTCCATATAAAAATTATTTATCATAAATGATAATTAATAATTAACTATTAAACCGAACTCAACCAATTCTACATTAATCCCAACAAATAATAGAACTGTCCACCGTAATTAAATACCTCACAAAGGCTATCGATATTTATCCAATGAGCGGACAACCTGGCAAATGTATAATGTCTCCCTCTTCTACACCGCCATTACTCGAAACCGTAACCTAAAACCAACAAACACACACTCCGTCACATCCTATTTTCGCTGCTCCTCTTTGCCTTCCTTCCTGGGTTTCCATAAAAGTAAAGGAGAAAACGAAATCCTCCAACAATCAAAGCTAGACGCAGAAGTGAAGTTGAGGGCTCGGATAGATAAGGGATATTTAGAGGGAGTTCTGTTCTTTCTACAACAAGAGGAGAAACTAACCATGTCATATGTGGTGGGGGTAGCTTCTCAAGAGAACCACGAGGAGAACAACAACGAACGGCTAGATTTGACTCACCGCACAGATCCGACGTCCACAGATATGCTACTTCCTCATGAAACTCTTCTCAGAGCTGCCATTTCTCTCAAGAACCAGGTATGCATTTCTTATGTTTTTGCCTCTGTACAGGTCGACCTTGTTGTCCTCAGTTCACAGGTTCTTGTCATAAAAATAAAACTTGAGAAGATGACTTGAGCAAGAGAGATGTCTATTTTCTTTTTCCACAAACATTAAAAATAAATTGTAATGCATTTTGCCGTCCGATAACCCATAATTTTCTCTTGTTGTGGCCGGATTAGTCCATTTGTAGATGAGCTTACAGTTTATCTGGCACTCTTTATCTTTTGAGAAATATTAAGTTCGAAACTTTTTTTTTTTGTAAAAAAAATAATCTTTTTCTTCATTGCAATTAAAAGTTTACATATTTAGTATTTTTCCCAACTTTATGTGCAGAACATCTAAAAGGAACTCTTATCACCATTTTTCTTCAACTTTTTTACCATAATGGTAAATGACAAACATATAATAAGTGAAGTTATATTAAAAAAATTATCTCGTGAGCGTGTAGTTTGGGCGATCCAAGGCAGGTGAATTATTGTGTTGTACTATGCAGGTGGTTGAAATGACGTGGGAAAGAGATGGTAAAACAGGTACGGGTATTGACCCGACAGTGTATACGGGTTTGCTCGGGACAGCTTTCACCTGCCTGCGGTCGTACGAAGTTACCGGTAACGAGCAGGACTTGCTATTGTGCTCCGAGATTGTGGACACATGTTCCGTTTCCGCACGGACCTCCTCTAGGTAAATTATGGGCTGTGACCCAGAGTATTCGCATATTCATACTTCACTATGCCGACATGAATTATGGTATCTAAAACAAGTGGATTGTTCTAATAATTGTTCGCCATTGCATTTCCAGTCTCACCTAGTTAAGAGTCTCTGTATTCCGTGGAAAATGTTTTTTTGGATATTTTTTTAGTATGAAACCAACATTAGAAAATAAATTAATGAAAAACAGGGTAATTCTTTTATTTCCATCTTTAGTTTTTGGATTGTGAATGAAAAGTAATTTTTTTTCATAGCAAAGGTATAAATAAGCAAGATTTTCCCATCCAAGAAAACATTTTTTCGCAAAACAAATATGCATCAATCTTCTAATTATAAGTTGTTTCAGGTGAATGAAAAGATCTAATCTCGATATTGTAAAAGATATTTTAAGAGTGTCACTCCTTAAATTATAAAAACAAAAGAGCAATAAATAATTCTCTCTCTCTTTCTTTTGGTTAGGTATCTTGATTAAGACCAATAAATAAATCTAAGTTATCAACCTCCCCCTTGAATGAGTTTCCACATGAATGATCAGTAAGTCTTGCTTCAGTTCCATTTCAGTGAATGTCCATATCATTCATGTGGAAACAAATTCAATAACTTCGGTGGTCCAATTTGTTTAAATCGAGCAACTTTTTGTCTCCTAAATTAACCAGAATGTTTATGGACTGACGCAGCCAATTATCAAATCTTCAGTGTGAAATCCACACGGTGTGTGTTGTTGTAACAAGCAAATTAAATCAATTGCTCAAGAAATCTCAAATGCAGGAAGGTTGATACGATAGAATACGATGAAGTCATGGTGGATGAGTATTCTTTTTTTATTTATTTTGAAACTAGAGAAATGACCACCCTGATTGCACAGCAAAGATTTTTTCTTTTGGCTCTGTTTTCTTTTCTCCTCTCTCTCTGATATGGTTGAAGTGGTGGATGTATAGGCACATCACCTTCTTATGTGGAAGAGGAGGCTTATATGCACTAGGAGCCGTGGCTGCTAGCTACAAGGGGGACCGTAGAAGACGTGACTTCTTTGTGAATCTTTTCCTTGAGGTACCATCAAATATATCCATTTTCATCTCTATCAACATCATTCCTAATATCCTCTGTCATATATATATATGTATATATAGTAGGATAATATCTTGCCTACCCAGAGAGAACAAATTTAAGATATAGGAATATCTTCTGGGGCCATGAAAGATGCTTGTTCAAGCATGTCCTTCATAGACCCAATTATATGAGTTAGGTGCCTGTTTCACATATACTTGCACATGACCCTTTTCTTCAGAGAAGAGCTTTTACTGATTTTTTTCCTCTGTGGATCCAGTTCTATACGTTTCATATTTGCCCGTCATCCAAAATCCTTCACTGCAGTTGGCAACACTTTCTCGACATTACTTTCTTGAAGTTTATGGCTACTTAGGCATTCGTAGAAATGAAAAAAGAAAAAAACGAACAAAGAATCTGGACAATCACAATTGGATCTTTCATGCAATATGAGCTAATAATCACTCAACTGTCAAGCTCAGACCTAACACTAATGACAAGATTGCTTTAATTGTTATTATGGATGCCTTTATAATGGGAAGGCAATCATTTTAACTTAGAAAGCTGATCGATTTGTTGCTTTCCAGATGGGGTCCAATACCTTATCTTTTTGTTGGCAGTGGGTAATTTATTCCTTCTTTTTAGGAATTTGGTTCACTATTCCTGTGAAAAAAAATTTAGAAGTTTTTTCAAAAAAAAATTAACATATTTGTATTTTTTATTTTACATTAATAATTTTTTTTATATTTTTAGATCATTTCAATATATTAATTTTAAAAATAATTTTTTAAAAAATTGTTATTTTAGTATATTTATAAATAAAAAATATTTTAAAAAATAACCACATAACCGTACATTACCAAATATGCAAGCAAACAACTGGTCTTGTGCGTAGTGTCTTCGTCAATCGTACATTACCAAATATGCAAGCAAACAACCGGTCTTGTGCGTTGTGTCTTCGTCAATTCCAAATTTCATTATTTCCACATGTTGAAAGTGATAGATTAGATGCCTCCAATGTTTGGTGCCGGTACACTGCTACGTGACTCATGAGAGGAGCTTATAGCTCACCTTAGTGGGTGGGGACGCCTATGAGTCATGAAACATCAATTCTGGGCCTCCGTGGCTCCATCTGATACAGTACCCACTTGCAGTTGGTCTGTTCGTTGAATTATCAGCTAGGTTGCCTCTGCCCTATGGAAGGCAAAGTTAAATGCACCGTCCATTATATCATGAATATCCGCGCTTGTTCTGGATTTCACTAAACATTTGCTTTATCTTCACTTCGGTGCTTGGTAGCGTGGCTTTAATTGCCAGATTATTATATCTTAATATTAAACACTGTATATTAATGTTGTAGTAATCTTCTCATGTCTTTCTTTCCGGCCCTTAATTTGGAAGCGGCAGTAGTTCCAAACAAAATAAGATGATATAATTCCACAAATTGAAGGGGTCCTGCTGTTTTATTAGCTGTGAACATTTTTTTCCCTATCAGGACTCCTGCTCTTATGCTAGAACATAGAAGTGCAGTATCTCTGGGGATCATTGATGGGGCAACATGCCTTATCCTTTTCTAAACCATCAGGTTTAAAAATAATGATGATTTTTCATCCAACCTAATCTGCTTAACTTCATCAAAATGACGATGATTTTTCACCTAATCTATAACTGGGATAGTTTTTGTCAACTGACTCAATCCAATGGAAAACAACAATCTTACTACATGTTTGATTGATTTATAGGTTGCACAAGAGAGAGCCCTCCCCGTTGGGCCTGAGGAAGGTGGTTTTGGGATGTCGTATGAGCTTATGTATGGGAGAGCTGGGTTTTTATGGGCTGCTTTGTTCATCAACAAGCATCTTGGCGAAGGGACATTGCCTTGTGATCTTCTTAGGCCTGTTGTTGATGCTGTTTTAGCTGGGGGAAGGGCAGGGGCATCTGATAATGCTGCTTGCCCACTGATGTACAGATGGCATGGGACAAGATACTGGGGTGCGGCCAATGGCCTTGCTGGAATCTTGCAAGTGCTACTTCACTTTCCTCTCTCCATTGAGGATGTCGAGGATGTTAAGGCAACTTTAAGGTACATGATGAGCAACCGGTTCCCTCACAGTGGAAATTACCCTTCAAGCGAAGGAAACCCGAGGGACAAATTGGTGCAGTGGTCTCATGGTGCAACTAGCATGGCCATCACCCTCTGCAAGGCATCTGAGGTAGGCAATTGATACTCGGTCAAGTTCATTTGATAGTGTTTGTGCATTTGGATCCATCCATGGTGACAATTTTACACAAGGAAAATGCTACACCACTCATGCTTAACCCGGCTTCTTCTATCACATATTATTACACAGGTTTAATTCCAAACATTGCACATCAAAGTTGCAAAAATTGCTGACTTGACACGGTACTTTGCTTAAGCCTAAAAGGTGATTCATGTAGCAAATTATGCACATAGTAATTGCATTTGAAAGTAGGAATAGTTGGGAATTGCAGTTATGTTATAACCGCTGATAGTCGTAAAGATAAGAAGACCTACAGGGTCTTAACTGTTCTGGTGTATAATGAATCAATTACCTATTAAAATGAGAAACACATATATTGAATCCAAGAATTTTATCAGTCTAACATTGAGTCTTCATTGTTGGTGCTCATAATTCTTACTGTTTCTGCAGATGTTTCCAAATGATAGAGAGTTCCGAAATGCTGCCATAGAAGCAGGGGAAGTTGTTTGGAAGAGTGGGTTAGTGAAGAAGGTAGGCCTTGCCGATGGTGCGGCAGGAAACGCTTATGCCTTCCTTTCCCTTTATCGACTTACTGGAGAGAGCATATATGAGGAGAGGGCAAATGCGTTTGCAAGCTTCTTGTATCATAATGCTAGTGAACTTGTGACAATAGGGGATGCTCGTGGAGCTAATCATGCCTATTCTCTCTTCCAAGGACTAGCCGGAACAGCTTGCCTTTGGTTTGATCTTCTCAAACCTGAGAGTTCCAGGTTCCCAGGTTATGAACTTTAAGTGAAACAGTATAGCTGAAATCTATATTATGCGTGTGAATTTAAGGCTAACATGAATGTAGTAAGAGTGTAACTTCAACGCTCGAATTATAAATATGAAGAAAACTCGGACATAGATATCTTTCCAAGGTTTTATTTACTAATGATTTGCGTTATCATGGTTCTAAATGGTTTCTCTGTGATGTCTCGCTTTTTGCATCGAGTCTTTTAATAAACTAGGCATCCACGCAAGAACGTTATATCGATGAGCCAAGCTGTTGAAGAGACGTTTTGAACACAATTTGTGTCTGATGACTTGATCAAAATGTAATTCATAGACAAGATTAGACATGACTACAAACACTATAATCCTGGTTTTCTGAGTTTCTCTTCTTAATGCTCTTCAAACTATTCCCCTTAGATCCTCATCTTTGGCTGGGTGAATCTACCTGCATAGAGATACGAGCGTGTCTTGGGTTCTATTTAATTTGATGTCAATTGAAATGATTTGGTGGCAATGCCATCTTCCCTCCGCTTAATTTGGACCCAACCAATAATGCTACATGCCTGATTGGAGTCATCTGTGTGCGATCATGTGCCAAGAATGCATGGTGGCATACTACTGGACAGCTTCTGGCGTTGCGCGTAGGTTGTACTGTAGAGATTCATCCAATAGGGAAGTAGAAGAGCTAGAACTCAATGCTTCCATTCATTGATTTTGTACGACCCTTTTCAGATTACGGTTTAGACTTCAAGGTGTCGGGTCTCAAATCCACTCAACTTCCGAATCAAACAACACAGTCTTCTTGTCTTACGGCTCACTCATCACTTATCTATGAGTTGACACTTCAGACGAGAAAGGACGTGCACATCAGATATCACATCATTTGCAATACTGAATGGACATACTTCGAGTTAATTGTATCTGCTGGGAGAAGCCATTGATTAGTCAGAAGTTAATTGTATCCAGTCGACGTTTTACCAAGGGTTTTGCAAATGATGTGAGATGAGCAACGCGCCCTACTACTCACGAGTCAAAGTGAAGCCGTGGTGCTCGGAGAATGATCGTGCTGACGGGGGGTGGCGGGGTGGACTGGACGGGTCAATTTTTTAAGAGGGTTAACGGTAGCTGCAAAGCACACGTGTATGATTGTTGTGGTCGACTGGTCCAATAACTCGAGGAAAATGACTGGTAATGTGTTCCAAAAACATCTTTGCCTATCACCGGAGTAGTGATTCATTTAAGATATTCTTTGATTCAGTCATAAAACCGGGGGCTTTTTTATGGTTTTTGGATTTGGTACCTGGATTGACGTTGGTTCAAATCATCAAAATTACTGAAGAAGTAAAGATAACTTCACAAGCATAATAATCCGTAGGTACACCGTCTTCATGCTCATTCCTCTCTCTTAGCCTTGAAGATGGAAATGAGGGCATAGACCTGGCTATTGCCAGATTGTTCGTTTGCTCGGTCACCTGTAATAATGTGTAGAAGAAGATGCATAAAATATCAAACAAAGATTGGTCTTGCTGGGTAGTTTAGTTGATAAAAGATAAAAAAAAAAAAAATTGGGAAAAGTATTATGTGGTGTTGGTGATTATCCTTACGGATTGGAAATAATAGGGATATAGAAGATAATAAATCCTTTTACTTTATCAATAAAAAAATAAAAATCATATTTTAGTTATTAAAAATCCAAATTGCTATTTAAATCTTTATAAAAAGATTAATTATGTGAATAAAAAGAAATAATATCTCTATTATATTTTATTCAAGATAAATTGCATTGTTTATTTATATGATGTAAACTAAGATAATGTGACATTTTATAATTTTTAATTTATTTAGTATTTAGAAAAGTCTTTCTAAGTAATAAAATCCTTATCTTATCAAGTTAAAATCTAATTATTTTAATATTAATATAAAAAATAAAATAAATTAATTTTTTATTTAATACTAGAAATACATATTATATATAATTTCATAATTTATATATTAAAATGAACAACAAAAAATGTTTTTGATATTTTTAAAATGTTTGCAAAAATCAATTCTGACCGGCAATTAAGAATTCACCAAATTGTATTAATGTCACTGTTCAAATGGACATCACCACAGAAACACGCGCACAAAAAGCATTTCTAAGTTGCTAAACCAAAAAATAAAAGTTCTCAACCAAAAAGGGGTTAAAAATTCCCAGCAAAAAAATAAAAAAAATAAAAAAAAATTCAGGGCACAGCATGTAAACTTAACTTTTCAGTCTTCCAAAAATTGAATGCTATAACCTTTTTCCAGGGATAGAGCAGAGTATCAGAAGAAAAAACATGTAATCTGAAGGGTATGTGATGCGATCAATATGTTTACTGCATAACTTAAAGAAAAGAGATTGAACACGCCTTTCACTGTTGAGTTCAAAATAGAAAGAAGAAAAAAATTGACAAAGAAAGCGAATACGTGTTAGATTTTGTCTTATACCATAGATTTTGTCTTATACCATATTTTTCACACACACACACACACACACACACACATATATATATATAAAAGGCATTATAGTTATTTTGCATATTTTTAAAATTTGATTGGATCTAGGTTGCAAAATGAAAATTTGAAACCTTGTTTGCAAAGTGAAAAAAAGAGTAAACCATAGGATGCTTAGATTAATTTTCTCTTAAAAAAAAGAGGATTGAATTTGAAAAATAAAATAAGAGAACAACTTTTGGTTTTTAAATTAAAGGGTGAAATGGAAAAAAAAATTAAATTTTTACAAAAAAACCATAAAAATTTTGCAATGAAAAAATAAGGATTAAATATAAAATAATTACAATAAAATTAGAGGACGATTCATAATTTTTGAAAGGCCAATACGAGCTTAAAGGAAAGGAAAAAAAATGCTTTCGATGATAAATTATCATAATATAGATAACAAGAGTCACCTACAAGTAAGGTCACAATACGTTACTATTAAAGGAGGTCATGCATGTTGCTAGAATTTGTATTTTTTTCTCTTCTGAACTTTACTCACAACAAAATTAAGTTATTATTTTTTTTCTTTTTAGTTCTTTATTTTTCATGGTTTTTTGCATTATATTTGTTTTTTTTATAATTTTTAAAACTTTTATGTTCTTAAAAATTACATGAATGTTGTTGTAGGAATTATTTTCATAGGAGAACAATCTTGTTGGATTTTTTTTAATTTTGTTATTCAATGTCAATTAAATGTATATAATTGATTTTAATTATTATTATTATTATTTAATTTTTTTATTCAACTTAATTAAATGAATTTATTTGTTGCTAATTTGTTTAAATTGATTGTTTTTTTTTTCCGAAGCAACTCAATTCCTGAATATTAATTAGTGTTGATTTATATTAATTTATTTTATTTTAATTATTTTCTACTTCTTTTAATAGATTTCTTTTAAAAATATATATTTTTAAATCATTACTGATGATTTTACTAATGTATTAAGTTCATTGATATATTTTAAAGAATTGAAAAAGAATTACTGTAAATATCAGTTCCACTTTTTAATCACTAACAAAATTGCATACGGTGTATATATTGGTGATATGTCAAATTTTCCGAGAAAAATACCAACAAAATGAAGTGGAGAAAATAAATATTTACAAAAAAAATATATTTAAAAAAAAATTTGAGTCTCAATCGAGTTTTGCCAAGTTTTTATCCATTTTGGTCTTTTGTCTCACTCAAATCGGTCTAACTATCATGTCGATCTATTAAGTTAGATCAGATTTAATAATTATAATACATATTATTTTGACTGAAATATATCATAATAAAATTTATAATCTTAATTTATATAAAAAAAATTTATAGGTATTTAAAAAAATCTAACAAATCCAATGAATCTAGATATTTATTTTTCATGTGCTGGAAAAAATAATTTTCAAGTCAAGAAATTACGTTATAACCGCCTCAAATCCAAGTTCAGCCGACTGCATGCTTTTGACTTAAATCCAAATCAGTCTCTCATTCCTCTCAATGTTTAGTGCCCCACGTGCCAAATTGTAACTTTTTCAAGTTTCTATTAAACATTTCATAAAAAATATTGTAATATTTGTACGTGTGATTGTAGTTTTGAATTTGTATAAACATATCAATCAAAAATTCTTATAAGATCAGTTTTTTGTTTAAGTTTTATTATTTTGTTGAATAATAAATTTTTAAAAAATCTTAACCATAGGAATGAGTGCAGTCTATATTTTAATATAATATCAATATATATGTTCATTAACTATGTTTTAATAGTAAATTCTAACGAGGAAAAAAAACTTATTGATGCAAAATCTCATGTTTAAATAAGAGCCTCCTGTGGTTGACGATGCTAGAATGTCAATGAGATTAGTATATATTGAGTAATATAGTTGAAAGTGTTTTTCCACTTAAAATATTAAATTAATACTTTTCAAAATAAATTTATAATTAAAATTCTTATATAAAAAATTAAAAATACAAGAAAAAACATATAAAAAACAATTGAAAAAAACACTGAAATAATGTAGTATCAAATAGTGCCTTAAATCAGACTAATTACATCTTAACAAGGTACGGCTCCCTTAATTATCAAATAGAGAAAAAAGATTTATCATTCTCCTAGTTAATCGAAAATAAGTAGAACACAGCGAATAGATTGAAGTAGCCTCAACGAGAGGATGGTCCAAAATAGAACCACGCTGGTTACCAACCTGTTTTAGTGTGTTTTTGATATTATTATAGTTTTCATGATTATAATTTGAAAATGTAGGTTTCAAAAAAAGTTATAAATTATAAATTTTTTTAATAAAGTTTTTAAGAGAGATTTTTTAATGGGATTTATATAAAACTATAGTGTATATTAATTAATTAAACAATTTTAAATTTATAATTGATACAGAACACAAACTGTTTCAGGATGTTAAACAAAGCTTTAGTAGCACAACTTGGATTCTAACATTTAATATGCTGTCACGTGTAATTTTTTTTTTTGGTAGTGTTTAGTTATTGTCTAAGAACAAAAATAATAAAGAAAATAAAAACAAAAATATATTTAGTTAAAAAAATAAAAAAATAAATATTTTCACAATAATTTTAAAATAAGTTTTTGCGCTTCTTAAATAGAAAATATAAAGAGGACTTCTCTTTAAAGAAAATAATTTTATAGAAAATTCTTAGTTTTAAAATTTTCCAACTAAAATATATAATAATAAAAATAGTTATTATTGTTTCAAAACCCAACTAAGTGATCAATTTGGAGCAAGATTTAAGTCATAGTTTAGATTGCCTCAAGTTGATTCTAATATGCATAAAAATAAAAATAATTAGTATAATAGTTTTAAGACCTTACTTCGGGTCAACCTGGATAAAGTTTGGGTTACTAGTCAGGTTATTTAGAGTTGGCCCATGACTTCGGGTCAACCTGGATAAAGTTTGGGTCACTAGTCAGGTTATTTAGAGTTGATCCATGTTAATATAAGAATAGAAAATATTATTATTATAGTTTTAAAACTCGCCTTGAGAGTCAATCCCCGACAAGACCACAATTACGAGAAAAAAGGTCAATATAAAGATAAAAATAATTATTATCATAATTTTAAAACTCGGTTTGAGAGTCAATCCCCGACAAGACCACAATTACGAGAAAAAAGGTCAATATAAAGATAAAAATAATTATTATCATAATTTTAAAACTCGGTTTGAGAGTCAATCCCCGACAAGACCACAATTACGAGAAAAAAGGTCAATATAAAGATAAAAGTTGCAATCATATTTTAAAAATTCAATTCGATAGTCGATTAGAACAATACCTGAGTCATAGGTCAAGAGGGTCAACCAGATTAATCTTTTTTTTTAAATAATCAAAGTAATTTTGTTTTGACCAAAATAAAATCTAAAAAAAATAACAGTGTGCTTTTTGACAAATATTTTATCTTTAGTTGATCAAAATTTTTGACCAGGTCATGTCGAGTCAATCCTTGCTTTATATTTTTAACTCAGGTCAATTTAGGTTTTGGGTCAGCCAAGTCTAGATCAACCTATCATATCATTCTGAGTTTTATAAATAGAATTGCTATAATATTATTAATTTCAACACTTAATATAAACTAAAATAAAAAAACAATACCTAATTATTTTTTAAAATATATAAATTTGAAAATAATATATATTTAGAGCAAAATAATTTTTTTTAATATTTTATTTACAATAACCAAATCAAATACAAAATAATTACTCTATTTTGTATACTTCTACCAGCTGTAACTTTATCATGATGTATTTTTCTATCTTCTTGTTTTTTTTTTTTTATCTAAAACATTTTCTGAATAGCTTTCCTATCCTTGTCTGCTGACACCATTCTCAGCTTCCAAAGACTTCTACTTCCATTTTCCTTTGACGGTCCATAATAGCAGGGCACCTTCACACAATCACTTGGCGCACAGAGTCCGCAGGAGGCAGCTTTTTCATTCGTGGCCATGAAAATCTATGTAGATTCTCAACGCTAGCAAATAATGAGACAGGCAGTGCTAGAGAGAAAGGAGAGAATATATATAGAGAGGGCATCAGAGTAGTTGGTCTTCATTGTCTACTAGTTTCCTTCATTATTTAACTTATTATAGTTAGCTAGCTACCAATGGAATGTTATGAGATTTTGAAAGATATTGGGTCAGGGAACTTTGGTGTTGCTAAGCTAGTTAGAGAGATAAAGACCGGTGAACTCTATGCTGTAAAGTATATTGAGAGAGGCCAAAAGGTTAGCTATGTTTGGCTTCATGATTTCTCTCTGAATTTTTCCATATTTCAATTTAAAATTTTTCCATTTTTTCGGTGGGGTGGGTGGTGGAATTTCATAAAGACGTGTTAAATGTTTGTTGAAGATAAGATTTTGAGTGGTAGATGTTGTGCCTGTGTATTTTGTTCCTATGGTCTTGTATGGGCTGTACTAGTTTCTTCATCTATTAATCTAGGCTGGGGGACCCTTTTTTTTATGAAGTTTCTTTCAACTTGGTGTTCTATTTTATCTGATGATAGTGATTCTGGAGTGTTTTTTGGTTTCTGCAGATTGATGAGCATGTTCAGAGAGAGATTATGAACCACAGGTCGTTGAAGCATCCCGATATAATTAGATTCAAAGAGGTATGCGAAGTGTCATGTATTTTCTTCTTATTAGATTATAAAAAGTAAAAGAATTTTGTGTGACTAGGTCCTTCAACTCAAAGTAAAGATGGAATTGGTATTTCTCTCAACTCTCATATAATTTTGAGAGAATATGAATTGATATGGAAGTTTCAGTTATAATCTGTGCAATTTCTTCCATTCAAATGGAGGCTTTGATATATAAAAAATGCACTTAGACATGTACTTTTCATGTCAATAGGACACGAATTCTTGACGCCAAGAATTATAAGAACTTGAAGATTTTGAATCTTGAAAAGGATTTTGAAGTCCAAACGCCAATTGACATTTAGATACCAAAATTCGAAACCAAGAGCCTTGCCTCCGCTCTTCAACGTGCCTTTGCATTCTGCAAGTTTCAGGACAGGTGAATTCGTTGTGCAGGTTCTGCTAACACCAACTCATTTAGCCATAGTCATGGAATATGCAGCTGGTGGAGAACTTTTTGAGAGAATATGCACTAATGGTAGATTCAGTGAGGATGAGGCAAGGATAGCACAGAACAGAACATTTTTCAGATTTTGACGTCTTGTTCATGTGGGAGTTTAATAATTTAATTTTTGGTTCCTTCAAATATTATCAGGCAAGATTTTTCTTTCAACAACTCATATCAGGAGTCAGTCACTGCCATTCTATGGTACTAATTCCTATCAATCTTCATTATCGATTAGTATAGACACAGTCCATGCTTATTTTGACTCTGCCTGCTACTCTTCAATAACTAATCAATCACTCTCTTCTGCTGTAGCAAATTTGCCACAGAGATCTTAAGTTGGAAAACACCCTCTTAGATGGAAGCTCAGCGCCGCGTCTTAAGATATGTGACTTTGGCTATTCCAAGGCAATGAACTTACTGACTTGCCTTACATAGAAGACATTTGATTGTAAAACCAGATAATCAATTGTTTTACCCCCACTTTGTGCAGTCTTCCGTGCTGCATTCCCAACCCAAGTCTACTGTGGGAGCACCGGCCTATATTGCTCCAGAAGTCTTATCAAGAAAGGAGTACGATGGGAAGGTATTTAAGACCATTTCAATCTTGTGTTTTCTCGTCTCTTTTTGGACCACTTTGGTCACCTAAACCCCAGCATTACTATTTGACTCTTCGAATTATAGATTGCAGATGTTTGGTCTTGTGGGGTTACCTTGTATGTGATGCTGGTTGGGGCTTATCCATTTGAAGATCCTGAAGATCCAAGAAACTTCAAAAAAACAATTCACGTTAGTTAACAGCTTTAATATTAAATGACCCCAATGCTATCATGATTTGATGTGTTAGTAAGAATAGACTGTTTGACCAACGACAGCGGATTCTTAGTGTCCACTACTCAATTCCAGACTATGTTCGAGTTTCCAAGGAATGCAAGCATCTTCTGTCTCTGATTTTTGTAGCAAATCCTGAAAAGGTAACAGAGAGAACTTTCATTTGCTGGTCAGCGCTCAATGACGTAGTACTTACTGTAGTTTTTTTTTTTTTTTTTTTTTGGGGGGTGGGGGTGGTGGTGTTTTCCTCTGGGCTTAAATTTTGCAGAGAACTACCATCCCAGAAATCAAAAGGCACCCATGGTTTCTGAAGAACTTGCCTGTAGAGTTAACTGAAGAGGAGGATGACAGCTTACAAATTGACGATGCAAAAGAGGAATCACAACGTATTGAAGAGATATTAGCCATGATTCAAGAGGCTAGGAAACCTGCAGAGGGGCACAGAATAGGCGGACCAGGTTTTGGTGGGAGCATGGATCCTGATGATATGGATGCTGACGCTGACATAGATGATATAGAGACAAGTGGTGATTTTGTCTGAGAAGGAAGTTGAGGATAAGTGCTTTCTTTTCTTTAATAAGGGAATCAAACGATCTGTACACTGGGGTGGCTGTTTAACACCCCCGGTCTGATTTTTTTCCTTTCGTTTTCCTAAAATTAAAATCGTTATAATTTTACTTTCAACATGCATTATAATAAATTTAAAATAACTTGTTAAAGTATTTTTTACTTAAAAATATATTAAAATAATATATTTTTAAAAAAAAATTATTTTTAATATTAATATATTAAAACTATCTAACAACATCAAATATTATCTTAGTATTGACATCCATGTTGTATTATGTTTTGATCATTGAGTAGTCTTATGTCGTGACATCTGTTAAAATATATTATTTGTAAAAATAGTAGTATTTAAAACTGACTTAACATATTTTTAGCTAATTTAATTCTTACAAACATAAAATAATAAGTTTCATAATAAACTATTATATTTCTTATTGAAAGCAATGATAGCTTACTTTTATCCAAAGTACCTGATTTGATTTGATTTAAAGGCAAAACAAAAATTGATCCTTCTTGTTTCTGTTTCCTCCATTTGGTCCCCTCCCAATTTACTCCTTAGGTCTAGGGAGCACTAGGTTATTTCCCCCGTTGGACTAAAAAATCAACTATAAAAAAATAATATACAGGTAATAGAAATTTTTTTGGCGCAGTGATTCAATTTAATATAATAGCTTGAACTTAAAAATTTTATATTTAATTTTTTATTTAACCTAAATTTTAAATTAAATCATATAAGAATTATTACACCATGAAATAGTTGAATGAAAAGGTTCAAAGTAAAAAAACTAAAGAAAACAAAAAAAAAATTCACGACAATTAATCCTAGTTAATTTATCAAACTCATAGTTCGTGTTATGTTTTTTACTAGGTTTAATTATTTTTTTAATTTTATTACATGATAAAAATACAATAATTGATTTACAATTAAGTAAGTATTAAAGAATAAATTCAATAGAAACTTAATATTTAAAAATAGAATAGAAAATAAAAAACAATGGTTTAATTGATTTTTTTTTCAATTTTATTCTTTAGTATTGAATTTATTGGGAATTTGGCTTAATAATTTGTTTTATTTTTTTATTGAGTTATTATTGTCTCATTATCTCATATCACAAAATTATTAAGTTAACTCATATTAATTCAATATGTTATCATCTCAATATTTAAAAAGAAAATATTATCTTGAATTTGTTTGAGTGAGATTATAATTTTACCAGCTATCTAAGTTGATCAGATCGCATTAAATCAATTTTTATAATATTTTTTTTTGCTTGAGAACACGTTAACAATAATTTAGTATTTTTTTATTTTTATTAAAAAGATTAATCTGATTCGCAGCTTAAAGCATCCAATAATCAAATACATGTGTGAAATCCTAAGATATTAGAATATTGATAAAGAAGATAACAATGAAAAAAATATATTCCTAAATAGAATAACTTTCTAATCTTTGGCCACCATGGAAAAATTATACAAGTAGTTATAGTCCAATAGTTGTGTATACTTTAATTTTTTTTTTTTGATGAAACAAGTTTGAGTCCAATACATAACTTCAGTTTGTTTGATTATTGTGCATCGGATAAAAGCTACCTAAAGATCCAATGAAACCTCTAGTTGAGCAAAAAACAACTATAATAGAAAAATTGCTACTATTAGAATTCAAACTTGAGATTTTAAAAGGAACAAAGTCCTAAACTTCTTGAATTATTAACCAACATAACTCAAAAGTCATGAGGAGAACTCTATTTAGATGTTTTAATATGTGTGTGTACATACATACATACATATATGTATATATATGATTATTACTTTTAAAATTATCTAAAATTCTATAATTGTGCCATATTATTGTTTCATATTTCATCTAGTTATGTAAAATTACACTTGATTAATATTCGGGAATAGAAAAAACAAATACAATACAAAAATATATTTAGTTAAAAAAATAATTATGATTAAAAAAAAATTTCTAGTTTAATTTTAAAATAAATTTTTATATTTTCAAACTTTAAAGCTGAAAAATATATCCTTTCTGTTTCTGTTATCAATGTCTACTGAAATAGAAACCAAACTACCATGTAGGATTCATATTTTGTTATATTATTAAGTAAAGCCCAAAAATATATCAAGCCCAAGAGCCCAAAAGTAAGCAATACCCAAAACTAAATTCCACGTGTCTTCATCTAAACCCAACTACACATTTAACCAATTGATTTGAGCCACACGCAAGAATCCCCTCTCCATATAAAAACAAAAGACAAAACCCTAATGCGCCACAACACAGAGAAACCCTCATAGAGCAGGAAGAGACACTCTCTCCTTAACACAACTTGGGTGCTGTGTAGTGAGAGACTACATTCAAAATGAAGGTTCAATTTTTAATCTCCTTTACTGTCTTTCTTTCTTTAGCAAAACCTTTATTTGTTTTCTGACTTGTTGTTTTCATTGTTTTTTTTTTTATGGGCAGTTTAACATTGCAAATCCAACTACTGGGTGCCAGAAGAAGCTTGAAATCGATGATGACCAGAAATTGTACGGTTCTCTCTTTTTAACATTTCATTGGTTTTGCTGTCTTGTGTAGATAGGTGTGTGTTTTGAGATTTTGGAATTTTAAGTGATTTGTGAGCTCAAGTCATCGAAATTGAGCTTGTTAGATATGATGCTGGTTTATGTATGGGAAAGTTTGATTTCTTTTTTATTTGTTCTCTTCTTAATTTTAAATGGAAACATCGATTTATCTTAATTGTGTGTATGCATTTCAGGTCATCATGCAACTAAATAGTAGTGTTGATTTTCATAAGGTGCATGATAGGAACTTAACGTATGAAATTTTGGGGTTTTATGATTCTTCATTTGGGGTCAGATCTCATAGGTTTGCGTAGATTTCTTTTTAGGGGAAAACAGCGGTTTAGTTTAGCATAATGCATCCTGAAATACGAGGAATATAGTGTAATCCAAACTGCATCTTAATGTCGATATGTAGTTTCTAGACCTTGAGGATAAAATGCACTGGAACTGTAAGGTTACTCTATTTTTCATCCTTCTAATTCCAATTCCACGAAAAATACTAAACAATTATTTAGCAGTTCTGATCACTAATGTGGTTTCGTTCTTACAATTTAGCCATTTTCACAAAGTATTAGAAGTCCTACTTGGTGTGTCTGTGCATAAGTATCCCCTGGCAATTATCAATTCACTTTCTTCATCTTAGTGGACTTATGGGAAAACTTTCCTCTTTGTTTTTAATCTTTTATTATTTTTATGCCAGGCGGGCATTCTTTGACAAGAGGATCTCACAAGAAGTCAGTGGAGATGCACTGGGTGAGGTATGCTTTTGCCAGGAGTTGACTGGCTGAGCTAGTGTTTCAAAGTTATGTTGTATTTTTTATTTTCTGATGTCAACACATCTGGTTGTATTATACAGGAATTCAAAGGTTATGTATTTAAGATTATGGGAGGGTGTGACAAGCAGGGTTTCCCAATGAAGCAAGGAGTTCTAACTCCAGGCCGTGTTCGTCTTTTGCTGCACAGAGGTTTGTGGATTTGCACCTTGGCATGTGTTTCTATGCGTTTGGTATTTGTTTTTTTGCAGGATTTAGCTAATTCATATACAATGCTTATTTAACAGGTACCCCTTGCTTCCGTGGATATGGCAGGAGAAATGGAGAGCGCAGAAGGAAGTCTGTTCGGGGATGCATTGTTAGTCAAGATCTCTCTGTTTTGAACCTGGTCATCGTGAAGAAGGGAGAGAATGATCTTCCTGGCCTGACAGATGTTGAGAAGCCAAGGATGAGAGGTCCAAAGAGGGCATCAAAGATCAGGAAACTGTTTAACCTCTCTAAGGAGGATGATGTTCGGAAGTATGTTAACACATACCGCCGGACATTTACAACCAAATCTGGTCAGTTGCTGTCTCATTATTCCCTTATTTATTTATTTATTATTTTATTTGAATTTGATAAGGACTCAGAGAATTAATTACTAGATCATGATCTGGTAAAGTTAGGCATTAACTTAACAAAAATAACAAGGCACCTTTTTTTCTGGATCTTCAGGCAAGAAGGTTAGCAAAGCTCCCAGAATTCAAAGGTTGGTTACGCCCCTGACTTTGCAAAGGAAGCGTGCAAGAATATCTGACAAGAAGAAGAGAATCACAAAGGCCAAGGCGGAGGCAGCAGAGTATCAGAAGCTTCTTGCCACCAGGTTGAAGGAGCAGCGTGAACGCCGCAGTGAGAGCTTGGCAAAGAAGAGATCTAGATTATCTGTTGCCTCAAAGCCCTCAGTTGTGGCTTAAGTGTTTTGTAACTTGGTCCGTGAGTAATGTCAGTGCTGAATTTCTTCAATAGCTCAAGGTAATTTTGGTTGTTATTTGGATTGTTGGGGTTAATTTTTAGATATTCAATGATTTCAAGCATCTGAGTTTTTTGTTTTGCTTCCATTATGTTGTGGAATGTGTAACAGTCTTCATTCAGATATTTTTGGCTTGCCAAGTCAATTCTGGATTCATCGTGTACTTGGATGATGCTTGAATCCTCAAATTTACGAGGTCTACATGAAGCAATCTCATCTGAATGTTAAATTGTTTTTGGGTTTCTCTTTAGATCACATTCGTCATTTTGTGCTTGAAATAAAACAAATCAATTTCTTTCTTTCAAGTTTAGTTTTGGCCAGTAGATGTTGGTCTCATCTCGTGATTTATGAGCCTAAGGAATTTGATCGTCTGGGGTTTCTATAGGTTACCTCGGAAAAACGTATCGTTTACATTTGTGTTTATTTTAATTATCATTTTTGAATAAAAGATTATTTTTAATAAATAAATTTAGAATGATAAATGATTTATATTTTGAAAATCAAATATTTTGATTTATATTTATTTCGATTTTTAAATTTTTAGTTTTAATTATTATTGATGGTTTTTTTCTTATTTATTTTCACATTCTTTTTAATATATTTAATTAGATGATTACATAAATGTTTTACTACACTTGAGATTTTTTTATGTAAAAAAAAGGTTGGAAAAACCTACCTATCTAATTTTTTCTGGAAAAAAAAAATACAACCCGCAGCCAAACTGGGGCTTGGGTGAAATAACTAGTCGGATAGAAATTGTGAAGGAT